ACGCGCTTCTAATGTTCCCGCGTGTTCTACCGGCCGTTTGTTGCACTTGCTGAAACAGCTGTGGCACCTGTGCCCTGCTAAGGTGCAACGTTCCCTCGCGCGCGCGCGCGCGCGCACGCTCTGCCTTGTCAGCCTCCCAGCACTCGAGTCACCCACCCCTGTCAGTCGGTCACCCTGATATCCACCACGCTAGCCTGGGCTAACCTTTATATCCTGACGATAAACGCTCGTATCGTGTCTGGACCTTTTTCTATGTTATTCTATGTTAAAAAGAACCTCCTCCGCGAAAAGGGTGGACTTTTCGCCCTCGTTTTTCGGTCCTCGGATTTTGAAATCGAATTTTATGCCAAAAGATAGTTCATGATGAGACATTTAATGACAGAAAAGTTTTACGTTGAGCACACGTGATTGGTTTCGAAGATGTAGAGAGTCAAAGTGGTCACTATCTACTAAGAAAGTATGACTGATGTCAGATTTTAAAAATTCAAGATGGCAGGTGGCAAAATGGCGGACATACATAGTGAAACAATCATTTATTTTTATTGGAACTGTTACGTCGTCGGTTTCTTTGGCTAAGCCGATTGTGAATTTTCTATTAGGTTTTCGAAAGTAATGTTTTCAACGACAATTTTTGAGTGGAACAAGTATTTTTTATTGTTTTTTCATAAAAAAAATATCAAATTCAAATTGATACGTTACATGACGCATAAAGGATAACGTGATAGTTTTATTTGTTATATTTAGGAGCTTATCTTACCTTCATTGGCTGGATAATTTCTTCATCTCGCTTACACTGAAGGTAAATGTAAATCTGATAGAAAATTCGCAATCAGCTAGCCGAAAAAACATAACAGTTCTGGTAAAAGCAAATAATTGTTTCACTATTTGTGTCCGCTGTATTACATGCGCCATCTTGAATTTTTTAAATCTAACATCGAATTCGTAATAAGCAACTCAAAGAACCCATAGATACTGAATTTCGCAAAACTTCGTGCGATAAAACGTTATTAGTGTCAAACTTCCTTAGTAGGTAGTGACCACTTTGACCCTCTGTATCTCTGAAACCAATCGTATGCTCAATGTAAAACTTTTTTGTGATTAATGTCTTATCATGAGCTATCATTTCGCATAAAATTTAATTTAAAAGTCGGGGACTTTTTGCGGAGGGTCTTTCATCATTAAACTATTATAAAATTTACTCTCTCGCTCTTTATGTTCGCAAGATGCCAAAGGCTATTTGATCGCACAAAAATTTCATAATTCAGGATATGAAGGATTAATAATGCGACGCGCACGCTTTCTTTCCCGCTCTCGCGACATTCGCCGGCCGACGGCCGAGAAGTGGCACCGACCGGTGGCACCGTCTCGGCGAATTCGACCAGCAGTTTTATAGCCCGTTATTATATCCATCGTCGCCTTTATAAGTTTATCTCCGACGGGTCGTTTCACCGGCATTAGCTGAGGATAAATCTGGAGGATTATCCCATCATCAAGAACGGGCTGTGAGCAGGTCCGTTTGTTGCCGAGCAATCTCTGGACTGCTGCGGCAAGTCGCAGTGGGACGAGTATATCTTTTGTCTCACTCTAACTTGTTGAACCAGCGCGCACTAGTCTGGGGGTTTTCCTAAGCGCGGACAAGTCGTATCGCGAAATTAGGCCTATAAGAGGCTAACAAGTAAACCTCGGGGAACGTCAGAGACGCCGATTTGTTTCCAATTTTTCAATTACTTTTTATGTCAAAATATGGAGAAATCTGTTATCATTTTTAGCTTAAATTGATCTTGGCAATTTTTTGGAAATTCTTCAAGTTTTGCACAAGTACACTATTTTATACATATTTAGAACAATATTTCTTAAAAATATATATATATCTGATTTGTTGAAACTTGCACACACACGTCGCCGATTATGAATCAGAACCATTTTGAAAAATTCAAAATGGCTGATCTAATATGGCTGTGATGTCATTGTTGGAAAAAGTGCTCAGTTTTACGCTACATTTGATGTTGGGTAAAACTTTCGGCTCACTATCCAGCAAAACGAGCTTATTTTAACGTCAAAATCTGGTAAAAAAATGAACAAGAAATGAACGAAAAAACTTGAGAAATTTCGGAAAAATTGAAAAAATGAATTTAAGCTAAAAATGATAACAGATTTCTCTTTATATTTTGACATTAAAAATAACTATAAAAAATTGGAAACAAATCGGCGTCTGACGTTCTCCCCGAGGTTTACTTGTAAGAGGAAGAGGCCTGTCATTTGCGACCACTTGAAAAACCTGTTTCCGTCTATCATGATGCGATTCAACCTACAATGAGAGAAACGCGCGCGCACTTTGAAATCAAGCCGTCGCTCGTTGGATGTCCGAAAACAATCCAGCTGCGCTCCTAACAATGTCGTATGAGACAGAGAGGGACCATATATTGAAAAGTATCCATTACTGCGAGCGTAAGACGCCGCTTTGATGCCTGCAAAACTGGCATCGCACCCCTCGGCTACTCGATCGCGGCTGTCGACTCGCTCGGCGACCCGGAAAGGTGACTGTCGTGTGCGCGGATATTCCGCGCAACGTCCGACGTTGAGGGATTCATCGCGATAAACGCGCATCCTACAATTTGCAGCCCAGCATTCCGCGCGTGCGAATAATCTGTAACGTCCACCGGCCGTTAATAAAGACACCGAAAACAACCGAGACCGGTGTAACTCCTCACGCGCTTCTCGCCGCTCCAAGTCGCGTCTCATTCAACAAACATTCCAACAACAGACAATAGGACGCGTTCACACGCGTCGGAGGGAGCCGTAAGAGGACATCCAGAGGAGAAATACCTCTCAGTTGTATGCGCAAAAATAACGCAGCTGAATCCGCCTTCGCATCGACACGCGCGTCGCGGCCATCCCGGAGGACGAGTCAACGAACCTCGGCGGGCCGTCGGAGAAATCGGCCGGGGAAAAAGCGCGGGAAGCACATGGCCGAAAATAGAACGAAGGAAGAAGCAGGCCAGGAGCAGGCGAGGAGCGGTGATCAGCTGTTGCCGGCGCGCGGCGGGCGGCCGAAAAACGCTCGGCGGCGCGCGCCGGCAAGGCGACCGTTAAACGCCCTTCACCTTTCGCGGAGAGCCGCGCACATGGCCCCGAGGAGTCTAAGGGCGCAGGCTGGCGCGGGGCGCTCCTCCAAGACACGCACGCAGCTCGCCGAGTATTCCGCATTAATGCTATACATTATTATCCTGCGCGGCGTCCTGGGGATGGTAACGGCCGCCGCCGCCGCCGCCGCCGCCGCCGCCGCGTCAACGGTCTCAGGCACCTGACGCCTTATAACGAGTCGCTGGCCCCTCCGTCGCAGGGGCGGGGCCCTTTCTTCCCTTTTCGTCGCGGGGCGAGGGCGAGGTCCTCGCGCGGCGCGCGAGTAGTCCGCTGGTAGGCGCTGCACGGCGGCGACGGCTTGCGAAATGAGCGCCGTCGCGCGAGCGAGCGAGCGAGCGAGCGAGAGATGCTCGAGAGAGATAAGATAATCGGATACAGCCCCCCGAAATTCCCGCTTCATCTACGCGGCCCGGAGTTATTTAATTAGTGCGTCGACGCGCGAGCACGCAATCAATTTCACATACTTGGACGGGGACACTGAAATTATCCTCGTAGCGAGAGAGAGAGAGAGAGAGAGAGAGAGAGAGAGAGAGTGTGTGCGTGTCTGGCCGCTCGGGGAGCACCTTTCGAGCGCTCGCGGCCAGGTTATTAATAATAATGCAAATTCGAGATGAGTGATAATCTGGAGGCTAATTAACTCGTCACGATATCCAACCGAGAAAAAGAGGGAAAGAGAGAGAGAGAGAGAGAGAGGGGGAGGGAGGGAGACACACGCAGGCACGGTCGCGCGGCGCGCAGAAACCGCCCGTTAGGTCGGGTTACTCGCGGCCGATAACCGATCACGCGGAATTCGACGGCTGCTGAACGCTAGAGAGGGAAAAAAGGAAGCAGGAGAAACGCGCCTCTCGGCCTGCTGCTCGCAGGTGAAGCGCGCGATCGCGCGTTGTTTCACCCCCCCGGAGCGACGGGAACCCGCGCGCGCGCGCGCGAATTGGTACCTGAGAGAGCCTGTGTGACCGCGAAACCTCCTGCCGAGGTGAGAAGCCGCTGGCGAATTAGCCGACGCCGTCGCGTTAACGTATACTTTGATCGCGCGAGATAACGCGCCTGCGGTGTGCAACGGGAGATAACGCAAATAAAGACCTCAACACGACCCACGTACGCCCACGAATTAATGAGGGAATCGCATTTGCTCAAGCTGACCCCCTCCCCCCGCTCTCTCTCTCTCTCTCTCTCTCTCTCTCTCTCTCTCTCTCTCTGCCTCGGCGTATTCGAGTGGATTACCAGCGAGGAGCAGCGGGCGAGAGATAAGGGCGGCGCGCCGGCTGCTGTCTTATTTTTCGGCATTAAAAGAAGGGGCGTAGATGGACTGCGTACCCCGCGAATGTCGATCGACAGTTCGCCCGCGGCGCTGGGCGGTACGGAGATGTGCGGGGAGCGCGCGCGAGCCGAGAAATAGAAAATAGAGATATGCGCGAGCGCGCGCGACGGCGGGAGTGAAAGCAGCCTCTTCCGTTCGCCACGGGCTAATGGCGCGAGCGAATAAATAAACAATATTCCTGCTCGATGGCTCGTTTCAGGCGGATAGCGCGCACGAAATTCGCGTCTCGAGAGAGAGAGAGAGAGAGAGAGAGAGAGAGAGAGAGAGAGAGAGAGAGAGAGAGAGAGAGAGAGAGAGAGAGAGAGAGAGAGAGAGAGAGAGAGAGAGAGAGAGAGAGAGAGAGAGAGAGAGAGAGAGAGAGAGAGGAGAAAGAAAAGCGGGACCGCGCGCGCGCCAACGGAAGGCCGCGTCCGACGTGGCGCGAGCGAGAAACTTATTTCCATATCAACATCTGTCTGTCTGCCGCTAATAGACACGGGATAAATTTCGCGCGTAAATAATATCGCGCGTTTCTAACTCTCGGGACTCTCGTTAGAAATGCAAAAAGGCGGCGGCGCGCGGCAGTCGCGGAGCGTTGATGGCCGATAACGATAACACGCCGCTTTCGCCCGTCAAAGGTGCTCCGAAAATGGCTCCTCATCGATCAAGAGTAACGCGGGTAGATCCCAATCGCACGGAGAAACAATTCCACGGGCGTGCGCGCGTGATGCGATGCGATGCGATGCGATGCGATGCGATCGTAGGTCGGGCGAATTCAGCGGCGGCCAACAACACAGGGCGCAGCAGGTGCAGCTTTCTTTCGAGCGCGCCGGACGTAGGGGTAGGTAATGTCTTTTCTGTCTGTTCCGTTTCCTACCGCCCCGAGTGGCGGCTCTTGCACTTTCATTCGTTACGCCGTTTCAGCGGGGAATTTATTGCACAACATTGTCGAGCGCTGTGAGAAATACCGGTAAATCGACGCTGCGCGTTACCTACGCACTCGCATCGCGCGACGCTCGCACGTGGCGCGCGGCGGATCGCCGGGGACATTGTTGCTCGTCGCTGGAACCGGCTTTGCTCGATTCCCGGAGAGAAGTCGGACTTCTCCATCCAGCTCGTTCGCAAGGCTCGATTTCACCGAATCGTGACACGATAACATAATTTTCCTCTCCTCCTCTGCGCGGCCCTCCGTTTCGGCGTTTGCTCGTTTCTCTCTCTCTCACTCTCTCTCTCTCTCTCTCTCTCTCTCTCTCTATCTCTCTCTCTCTCTTATTTCACTTTGTTTATATCACCCGAAAAGAAGTATTCATTTGTAAAGTGATTTTCTCACAGTCTCGTATTCTAAGCGAAGTCTTTCACAGAAAAAGGATTCCTCTCTCGATAAAGCGATTAAAGTGAAGCATTCACCTAAAATTTATTAGATATTACTCTGACCTTCTATTTCAAGAAGATTTCCTCTTATATCAATGAATGTTCCTCTTATATGAAGAGGAATATGTTGACCCGAATGTCGGCTTCTTTTGTTCAATCATGCTCCACCTCTAGACATGAACGAAAAAATAATCGTATGTTCATAGGTCAGAATATTTGGAACGCTTTTTAAAAAAGGATATGCGAGTTGCTGTAACATAATAACGAAGATAATTTACCCATATTTGGTCAAATACAGTTTCTAATCTATCGCAAGAAGTTGAATAATATTAAATTCTTTCTTTTAACTATGTTTCATACAATTGGTTATGATGAGCATCTTTGTAGCTATGAAGTCCGTAACAAAACTGATTGGACATTTATTTGTCACGATGATCTTATTTCATTCGTGTCTACTTATTGTAGAACTCGAGCCACAAGTACGTCTATATATATATATATATTACTTTTCGCTATATACATAATGATAATTTTTCCAAATTAACTGGTACAACCAGTAAGAATAAATAATAATCCTCTTGAAAAAAGATTAAATAATCTGTGTACGAGAGGAAATTTATATTAAAATCAATAAGATTTGCATCATACATATAAAATATTGAATCCCTCTAACTTTCAGAATAATGTGTTTATAATATTTTCCTCTTAATCTCTCAGGGAAATCCCCCTCTTGAGGCCATATATAACAATAAAATCCTCCAAAATTCAGATGATTCCGCTTGTTCTTTATTCTTTTCTTCAGTGTTATATCGCACCAGGAAGGGCTGATTTCCATCGGTGGTAAACGAATAAGAAACGATATAATTTTCGTCGCTGGCAAACAAATTGTACAGCGATTCCCGCCGCTGAATAAATCAGTGAAGTAACACGACGCTCGAGATCGCGACGTCTTGCGACTCGACCGGCGCTTTTCGTCTCGTCCCACCCTCGTCCTATCGCCGAATGTGACGAGAGCAGATAACACGAGATCGGCCGGCCGACCGCGACGAAGTCCGACTTCTTGGAATCGAAACGCTCGCTAGGAAAACCGCGAGACTGACGTCAGCCGCGACGGATATTTTTGGATCCTTCGACGTCAACAGGATAGAGCAGCGCGTCACCTCATCATTATTCCCCGACGAGCGCGAGTTTCGCGTGACGCGCTCGGCAGAGGAAGAACGGCAGCAGAAGAACGTCGTCCCGACGTTCCATCTTCGCGATCCTCGGCGGGGAGGGGGGTAAACGACACTCATAACTCGGCGATCAAGTCCGCCGTCACAATATTTATCAACGGATCGTCTCGAGCATCATCGTCGGCCGTAGTGGGCTACCGGCGCGCATAAAATATCGCCGGCTATGAAGACGTTGTTAGGCTCCTAGTGCATACTCAACCGGTCTCAGTTTAATGCTTCATCCAAACACTCCAGAGAGAGAGAGAGAGAGAGAGAGAGAGAGAAGGAGGACGAGAGAGAGAAGAGAAGAAGAGGGCTTCTCGCCTCGGGCCGCGTTTATAGCGGAGGCCGCGAGCGCCAAGAGCGGCGGCGTGCGATGCGACATAAACGGCGCGTCTACGTCTTCATGAGGCTACCTCGCAGCGACGTCTTCGCGCTACGCCTGGCCGCGCCAACGACGGCGTGGCGCGGCGCGGCGCGGCGCATCGCCGACGGAGATGAGCGCGGCTCGCCTCCTCGCCGAGTGCGTCTCCGCCACGCACTCGGCCGTGCTATCACCTTCGCGCTTGCTTATCGAGCGGTCGTATCGAGAGCGTGTCGTGCCGTCGAGCACGCATTACCCCGCGTCCGCTAATCTACGGTATCGTCGTCCGTCATCTGCGCGCACGCTATCGTCCGCCGGTGATCGTTTCTCCGGCTAACCGGCGCGGGCCACGCGAAGCGTTTTCTATAAGTACGGTACTCGCACGCTACGGATTTCGCGCGTATCCGGTCGTCCCGGGCTCGGCTGTGTTGCGCAAGTCGCATAGCTCGTCGCAGGAACCTCGAGACCTCGAGGACAAGTCCGACGACAGATTTCAGACGATAATGGCGCGACAACGTGTAATTGTTACGATAACGTTCATATTTTTTCCCTATTCGGATCTCAGCACGCTGCGACGACGGAACGAGGACGATTTTAAATATCAGATGAGAAACTACTAGAAGAGTGCAGGTGGAAATTGCTTCGGATGCAATTCCACCCGAGAAGCAGAGAGCGACGTTCTCCACCGCGCTGGCAGGCAAGCAAGTCTGCTCGCGAACAAGCTCAAAGAGTATAGCCGCGTTTGCCTGCAAGGAAGCAGAGAGATTCTCTTCTCCTCGTGCGAGGTCCGTTCGTCAGCATCAGCATCGGGGCAGGTGTCGCGGCGGGCCCCGGGGGCACGGCGTCATCGTCCGCCTGGTCGGCGGGCAACCCGGTGGACGCGCGGCGGCAACGTCAGAAGCCGACAGGCTCGTTTGTCGCGTGGCCGTCGCGGCTCCGAGAGCATCCGAGCGCGAGCGCGCCAAGTTCGCGACCCGACGGGCCTCGGGCCCCGGCGGCCGGTGACCGGCGGGACCCTTCACCCTGCCGCCGCCTCCGCCGTCGTCGTCGTCGCCGCCGGGACGGAGGGGACCGCGACGGCCACCGGCCGTAGAGGGGCACGGAGCGACCGAGCGAGCGAGCGAGCGAGAGAGAGAGAGAGAAAGAGAGAGAGAGAGAGAGAGAGAAAGAACGAGAAGAGGCCCCCGGAGGGGCCAGAGAGCAGCGACGGACACGGCCGCGGGTGATTACGTCGCCTGTCGGCGCGGAACTGTCTCCTCCTACCCGCGGCGCCCACCGCTCTCCGATTGGCCGGACTCCCTGCCGAGGAAACGTACCGGCTTCGCCGCGCGGCTTCTCTTTCGTTTCGCGACTCACCTCCGGACCTCTCTCGCCGCTCGTTCTCTCTCTCTCTCTCTCTCTCGCTCTCTCTAGTCTCCTCGCTTCTACCTCACCTCTCGCTCTCGCGCCCCCCAATTGTACGCGGCGAGGTGTCCGTCATTGTCTGGCTCTCGCTCTGTCGGCTCCCCCCCCCCCACTCCGCTCCGGCCCCGTCTAGCTCGCGTTTACCTCGCTGGCTCGTCGTTTGCCGCTTGTCCTGTCTTTATCTTCCGCTTTGTCCTTTTCTTGTATTTCCCCGTCCCTCTTTCGGAGAGGTCCTCGCCCCGCATGCCCGCCCTCGTTCGGCTCTTAAACGCCGGAGCGGAGGCTTTGCCCTGCCCGAAAGACGACCATTTCTTTCGCAGCCCCACCAACTGTCCACCATGATCGGGAAGAAGAGGGGAAGGAGAAGGAAGGAAGAAGAGGAGGAGGAGGAGGAGGAGGAGAAGGAGGAGGAGGAAGAGGAGAGCGACGTGTAATTGTCGAAAGAGCGGGCTGATGAAGAAATATATTCAGAACGTGCCACGAGAGAGACGCACACGAGATAATGAGTATCTGTGAGCTCGTCGCGTTACAGGAGCCAAGGCAAATAATGGCAGCCAGCCGAGGCCAGCCCTTCAATTATTCAAACGTCGACGTGGTCGCTCGCTATCTCATCGGAGCGGGCTCATACGACGACGACATCATCGAGTGAGCGCGCTAACCGCAAAATCGCCGAGGGAAACGTCTCTGAGCGGCCGGGCCGAGTGATAAGACTCTCTCGCGCGGCGGGAGATAACAGTTATTCGAGCCGCCGATAAAATACTCGATACGGCGATATGTAAATCCCGCAACAAGCGACGGATGACACCCGGCCGGCGTTAGGCGTTCAACTCGTCCATCATCGTTCGCGCGCGACAAGAGCGTAAAGGTGGGTGTACACCGGCCGGACACGAGTGGCTACGAAGGTGGCGAACACGTGAACGTTAGCGAGTCGCCATTTGGGTCCCACTTTCGGCCTCGATACAGTCCGTTTAACGCTAATCTCTCGTAGGATACGTAGGATACAAGCTCCTTTTTATTCAAAAGCTACTGAAATAAAGCTGAGAAAAATACTCAATCTTTGCCTCGAGACATATTCTTGAAAATCTGCAAGTTGCAAGGCGAGACTTTGCTCTCTATAGAAATAATTTCCCATTTCCAGGCTGGAATCTCGGCCCTTACTTTCGGTCTTTAAACGCTACTCTCGCAGTCTCCAGCGTATCGACTTTTTTTAATTCCGCTTAACCTAAAAGATTGCTGAGAGATCTTCTTAAAAGAATTACAAGTGGCAAGCTGTGTGTGTTTTCTTCCTCACTTTCAGTCCAACTTTACCTTCTGTGTAAGTAAATCTCCATCCCCGAGTGGAAATTTTCATCCCCGTTTAACCCCTCCGCAGCCGAGTCTAAATTTTGATCCCACTTTCGACCTCGATATCCCATTTAATACTCGAGAGCCCACATCGAGACCTAACCTATCCTGATTGTATTTAACCTGAATTATCGAAGAACCGGCACATGACAAATTGCCGCTGAGCGGAGCTTTTAGTGCGAATTAAATCCCCATCGGTCCTGCCGAATCTACAAACGTCAGGCAGGCGGTGAGGTCGAAAATAAGGTACAACTCCGCTTGTCGTTCGTCGGCCCAGTGTATACCCACCTTAATATTAAGTACGCGCGCGATGATCGGCCGCGATCGGCCGTTAGTCCGCGATAAACGACGGCGAGTGATTAGACGACGAGGCGAGATCGATCTCGACGTGACTTTTCAGGAAAGGACTTTCCGCGCGCGCCTCTCCGGCGGAATCCCGTCCCCGGCTCTGCGGGCGACGAGATAACTCAGACGCGATAACGTTGTCACCGATAGAATATTTCGCTCGACGCGGCGCGGCGCGTCCTGAGCCGCTCTCGGCCGAATTTGCATAACTCATCCGCGCTCAGATATCGCCGCGCTCGATCGCGATACACCCCGCGACGTCGACGTAGCGCGACGGGAATAATAATCGCTCGGCTCGCGATATCGGGAGCCGGGAGTTAACGATCGGCGCAATTTTGTGCAAAACGCCCGGCATTATTTCGCGATTTAATCACGAGCGCGCGCACGGCGTTATCCGCCGCGAATCCGCTTCCTGATCCGCAAAAGCGATTACGTACGAGCCTGCGTGTACGTAACCGAAGACGGAGGGAAGGAGGGCGGAGGGGGGGGGCGGCGGCGGGTGGGAAGAGGGAGGGAGGGAGCGACATCAAAGTCTCCAGCGGAAATCTCATTTTATACACACATTCCGGTTTTTACAATTTACCAGCGTGGCCAGCGAAAAGCGCGACACGACGCGACGCGACGCCGCCGCCGTAATTAGCCGCGGCGGCGAGTGTCGCCACGCGAGACCGCGCGAAATCGCGTTTTTACCATCGCGCTTTCGCCCGCCTTCTCTTCTCTCGCCGAGTGTGCCCGGCGATTTCTACGCGCGAAATTACGCCCCGTGCGTTCATTTGGCAGGTCGCGGGCGCGCGCCAACAAATTTATCGGGTCGCGTCGCGCGCGATTCTCTCTCGCCGTCGCTCCGCTCCGTCCGCGCGGCGAAAAAGGAATTTCATTGCCGTAACCGAGTGAAAATTGCGCCGCGTCCGCGGAGAGCGGGCTCCCATTTATGTATAAATAATAGACCGCCGTCATCCTACTTTCGTTTCAGGCGGAAGCGAGCCGTCGTATATATTCGCGTACGCGAGATTCAATGCGCCGCTCTTTCCCGACATCCACCACCGCGGCGCGGCGGCAACGCACGAATTATTACGCCGCCGCCGCCGCCGCCGCGCGCCGGCATCGCATGATAATCGCATTATGCAGCACTCGCGTACAGCGGGCATTTACTTTTATGCAACTGCAAAACGTGTGAGACTCCGCCGCCGGCGCGCTCGAGCTTCCTCGCAAACTGGCAAACTGCTTGCGCCGAACTTTCCCAGCGGTCCGCCGCCGCACAGTGGAGCCAGATGACGTTCTTTGGTTGAAAATCCTCTAGAGACCTGAATTCCCAACTGATCATCGACACCAATGGATGAGGGGTTGATCCTGCATAAATTCCGAAGAGATCTGTCTTGCCAAAATTGAGAAAGAAATTCTTTTCTCGAATTACTCGAAGCCCCAAGGAGAGAAAGATTATCGTTAAACGCGAGAAATTTGTGAAATACTCATTATTCGACACCCTTATCCGTTAACCCAAAACTCATATGGCCAAAACACAAAAACATCAAATATAGACCCGTTAAGCACAAAACCGAGGGATTTTGAGTCTTAAGACCATCAACCTAGGAATCTATCAATCCGAGAACTTTTTAGCTCGTAGATGCACGAAGTCGTATATATTAAGAGCCCCAAATAGTCCAAGAACCCAATCTAGCTCGAGAACCTAATAATACTCGACGTTGAATATTCA